CCACATTTTATTTATTATATTTAAAAGCTTACGGATGTAAGTATAAGTTAATTAGGTAGTACTAAGTTGATTGGATACAATTTTATTTCTTCCCCTAATCTAGAATTTGTCAAGCTCCTTTGGGAAGAGATTTGTCTAACAGAAATTATTGTGTAAATCTACCTATGTTTTCTGTAACCTTAATAAAATTATAATTGTGATCCTATGGAATATGGAGAAAGTTAAGTTCTCAATCTTTGGTATTTGATAATATTACAGACATTTGATAAGGACAGTATCTGTAGATGGAAGTGAAGACAGCTGCAAATTTAAGCATGTAATTAATAGGAAAAGAGTTTGTAATAATTGTTCAACAAAACACAATCCAAATAGCATTTATACAATTTAAACACAATTTTCTATTCTGGAAGAATAAGGTATATGCAAATTACCTGATTCGGAAGTGAAATTAATCCTATGATAAAGTACTTAGAAGTTTAACTGCCTTTTTGTTACTAATTGTTTTTTATTATGGCAAAACAAACACATAATATGAGATCTATCTTATTACCGAATTTGTAGTTGCACAGTAAATACTGTTAACTCTATGTACATGGTTATACAGCAGATCTCCAGAACTTTTTCATCTTGCATGATTGAAATTCTATACCCACTGAGCAGCAACTCTTCATTTCCCTCTTCCCCAGCCCCTAGTAACCAGTATTCCACTTTCCACTTCTATGAGTTTGACTCTTTAGAACCCTTGTGTAAATGGAATCGTGCAGTACTTATCTCTCCGTAACTGTAATGTCTCTGTAACTGACATTGGCATAATGTCCTCCAGATTTATCTGTTTTATAGCATATGACAGATTTCTTTGTTTTAAGGCTGAATAATATTCTGTTTTATGTATATACCGTAGTTTCTTTATTCATTCATCTACTGATGGATGTTTAGAGTATTTCTGTCTCATGGCCAATGTGAATAATGCTGCAGTGAATACAGGAGCACGCATGTCTTTTCAGGATCCTGTTTGCAATTCTTTTGAATAAATACCCAGAAGTGGGATTGTTGGATCGTTTGGGAATTATATATATATAATTTTTGAGGAAATTCCACACTGTTTTCCATGGTGGCTCCACTATTTTATATCTACCAACAGTGCACAAAAGCTACATTTTCTCCCATTTCCATGCAAATACTTCTCATTTTCTGCTTTTGTTTGTTTGTTGATAATGGCCATCCTAACAGATGTGAAGTGTTACTTCATTGTAGTTTTGATTTGCATTTCCCTGATGATTAGTGATGTTGAGCATTTTTTTTTCGTATGCATGTGGATCATTTATATGGCTTCTGTGCCCATTTTTAAATTGGGTTATTTTGTTTTTTCCTATTGACTTGTAGGAGTTTCTCATATATTTTGAATACTAACCCCTCATGAGATACATGATTTGCAGATATTTTCCCCCATTCAGAAAGTTGTCGTTCACTCTGTTGATTATTTCCTTTGGTGCACAGAAGCTGTTTTAGTTTGATGTAGTCTCACTTGTCCATTTTGCTTTTATTTCCAGTGCTTTTGGTGTCGTATCCAAGAAATCATTGCCAGAATTACTGCTCTCAAGCTTTTCACCTGTTTTCTTCTAGAAATTTTATAGTTTTGGGTCTTACATTTAAGTGTTTAATTCATTTTATGTTCATTTTTGTGGATGGTATAAGAAAAGTGTCCAATTTCATTCTTCTGTAATGTGTATATCTGGTTTCTTCAATGCCATTTGTTAAAGAGACTATCCATTCCCCATTGAGTAGTCTTGTCACCCTTGTTGAAGATCATTTGACCATATATATATATATATATATATATATATATATATACACACATGGATTTATTTTTGGGCTGTCTGTTCTCTTCTGTTGTTCTATATATGTCTGTCCTATGCCAGTATCATACTGTTTGGAATACTGTAGCTTTGTAATATGTTTTAAAGTCAGGAAGTAGGAGACTCTAGCTTAGATTTTCTCAAGAGTGTTTTGGCTATTTTGGGTTTGTGGTTCTTTGTGAATATCAGGATTTAGTTTTTTCTCTTCCTGCAAGAAATGCCATTGAGATTTTGATAGAGATTGTGTTGACTCTGTGGATTGCTTTGGGTAATATGGATATTTTAACAATACTATGTCTTCCAATCATGAATACAGGTCATCATTCCATTGATTTGTGTTATCTTTAATTTTTTTTTCAGCAGTGTTTTGTAGTTTAAGGTGTACAAGTCTTTTGCCTCATTGGTTTATTGCCAAGTATTTTATTATTTTTGATGCTATTATAAATAGGATTATTTTCTTAATTTCCTTTTGAAATTGTTTGTTGTTGGTGTATAGAGATGCAACTGATTTTTTGTATCCTGCAACTTTGCTGAATTTGTTTATTAGTTCTAACAGTTTTATGTGTATGTGGAATGTTTACTGTTTTATACTTTAAGATTGTGTCATCTGCCTACAGAGATAGAAGTTTAATTTCTGAATTATATTTAGTTTTACAGTAATTTTTATTAGGACAGTTATAATAATAATTTTCCTGTTTATGTTTCTTTATGTCTTTTTTCCCCTCCTAAATATGACATATTAAGTTCAAACACGTATTCAAACCCTTTAGACCACAATCTTCCTGGAAGAGGTTTCTATGGGTTAAGAGGATTCAGGGCATAATAACATTTGACCCCTACAAAGCAACTTTATTAAGTATATGTTAATAAGATGACCACTTAACAAAAGAAAACTGAAGCTGAAACTTTTGTGACTTAATTGTATGATATAATTAATAAGTGGTAATGCCATAACTAAAACTTAGTTTTCTCATCCATGGACTTTGTTGAGTAAATGAACCGACAATGCATTTTAACTTAGTAGTGCAACTTTTTTTTCTTGCTGATTTTCCTTTAGTTTTTTAATAATAGACTTTGCTTTTTACACCTGAGCATTAATTAATGTATGGCTGGGGAAAGTGAAATATCTTTTGTAGTAGGGATCAGGTAGCCTGGGACAACCACACTTACTGAGGTAAACGCACAAACAGTTATAGGCATTATGAGCAAGTACTGTATAAAAGATTTACTTAATATATATTTTTAAAGTTTATTTATTTTGAGAGATAGAAAGAGTTCACGTGTGTGTGTATGTGGGGTGGGCGAGGTGCAGAGGGAGGGAGACAGAGAATCCCAAGTAGGCTCTGTGCTGTCAGCACAGAGCTCCATGTGGGGCTCTATCTCATGAACTATGAGATCATGACCTGAGCTGAAAATCAAGAGCTGGATGCTCAACCAACTGGGCCACCCAGTTGCCCCAAATTTACTTAATATTTTGAATTAAATTGTGTATTCTGGTTATTTTCACTTTATAGAGTTTTCCGTTTTATCTATTTATCAGAACAGTGTTATTTGTGTACATCTATGAATGAAATATACTTAATTGATTTATTTCCACTTACTAAATCCAGTACCAGCATTCTGTGTGGCTTAGTGTAGTTTTCAATCATTAAAGAATTTATTTTTATACTGCTATGAATTATAGTTTTTTTCACTGACACACACTCAACTCCCAAATGATTATTTAGCATCTGAACTGATCCTACTCAGAAGTGCATTGTTTGCATTAATAAAATCTTAATAAATTTTCATTTTTCTAAGGATTCTTGTAATGTTACATTTATCAAGAGCCCTTACATGATTCATGGAAAGTGCTGAATTATGTATTTGACCTTGAGCATTGTTATTTTATTCTAAAGTTGCTTTTATCTGCCTATTCATCAGAATAAACACTGCTTACTTCCACTTAAAATGTATTTTGTTGTGCAAACTTAATATCTATGTTTTCAAATAAATATTTATATACCAGACTTTTTACATCTCTGTTTTGTTTGCAAAGTCACCATCTTTCTTTTTTTCTCATTTAACTTAAGATATGCAAAACCATTTATTATTTATGCAGGATTTGTTGAGATGAGAGTTCACCTGCTGGTAGCTATGACTCTATAATATGGTAATATCTCAGTCTGATTTCAGTCTCCTTCAGAGAGGAGGGAGTTTTTTTTTAAGTTATTGAGTGAAGGTTATAAAGATGACAGGCTGCAGTGGAGGAATTATTCTTGAATTAAGCAGCCTAGGTTCATATGGCACATGTTATGTCTTACAAAAGCAACAGGAAAACCCATTATAGAACGATTCTGACCACTAACCTGAACCAATGAACTAATTGTATCTTTGTTGAAATGGCCTTAGAGATGTCAATCACACAGATCTTGAGGCTGAGCAGCTGATAATTTGCTCTTTCAGTTGACTGATAATTACTTCCAAGAAATTAGACAGCCTTAGTAAGAGGAAAACATAATTGCTTTCCCAGTAATTTTTACTTATGATCAACAGAAATGAAAGAGTAAATAAATGTCTACATCTTGTTGGAAAATTTTATTCTTCCTTCATGTTTTTAACCTTTCAATTTTTTTCAGTTTGAGAAAAATTTTCATTGTGTATGATATTTAGATACCACGTTTATTGGTTGTATTCTAGTGATTATTTAAGATTTCTCTGTTGTCAACTTTGATGTGATATTTGCTATTAAACTGAGCCTCATTTTATACTGAAAATATTAATAATGTTTCATGTGATCCCATAGCTACATTAACCAGATACCCACTGGCCTGAATCTGAGTATGGGTGACCTATGGATTCCTCAGGAATGAATGAGGAAGGTCCCCGTGAGGAGGAAATTTATGAATGCCATATTATTTATCTCCTAATCTTGTTTTATGGTTAGCCCTAATGATTCCATTAAGTACGCTGAAATCCTGGTAATAGAGCCATAAGAAGATACTTAGGAACAAAAAGTCTTTATAGTGTACAAGTATACATTCTTGTTTAGCAACAAAAGACTCAGGGCTTTGTTTATGGTGTCCATGTCTTTCCTAAAAATTAAAGAATGACCTTATCTCTTTACAAAATCAAATATATCTATCTTTTTTGTTTTCCTTGTAGCATGTGGAGAAACCCTTCAAGAATCCAATGGCAACCTTTCCTCTCCAGGATTTCCAAATGGCTATCCTTCTTATACACACTGCATCTGGAGAGTTTCAGTGACCCCAGGGGAGAAGGTAGTGCATACCATCGAGAGTTCTTATTTAGTCTTATATAAATATTAAGATTCATCTTCTTTTAAATATAATTTGCTTTATTTTTATTGTTATCTGATTCTTCAAATAATAGACTGAAAACTCAAAAATTTTATAATGGCAATTGTTTAAACTCTGGGAACTTTCTGAAAAATGTACTTTAAAAGATGGTAAATTCTCTAGAAGTGTTGAAATAATACAGATTATGTTCTCAGGCACAATGAAATTAAGTTAAAAATAAGTATTAGATAGATAACTAGAAAATCCCACACGTTTCAAAGTTAAGAAATATATATCAGATATCCAGTTCAACTAAGAAGCAATTATAGGGAAGATGAGAAATTATTTTCAACTATAATGCAACAAAAATACTGAATAGCAAGTCTGTACGATTCAACTAGAGCAGTACTTAGAAGGAAATTCGCAACTTAAATGCTCACATTAGCAAATAAAAAATGCCCTAAACTAATGAGTTAGACATCCCTTTTGAGTGACTAGAAACAGAGTAGTAAAATAAACAGAAAAGTACATAATGGAGGAAGTAATAGATAAAAGATAAAATTAATGAGATGAAAATAGCATTATATAAAGTCTGAAGAAGTTGGTACATTGAGAAAACTTAGCAAAATAGGAACATGGTTGAAAATAGATCAAACAAGAAAAAGAATAACAGAGAAAGCACAATTATCTAATAATCAGAATAAAAAGGTTATCATAACCATAGATGCTATAGACGCCTAACATTATGCCAATAACTTAAATACGGAGATGAAATGGGAAAATTCTTACAAAATACTGTTGACTTCTAACTCAAGAAGAAAAAAACAACTTGAATACTCCTATAACCACTAAAGAAAATGAATTCCTATTTAATTAAATTATTAGATCTTTTTCAGCAATGAACATTCAGTCTCAGATGGCATAATTGTGAGTTCTAGCCAACATTCAAATAGGTGTAATCTTATATAAACTCTTCCAGGGAATAAAAAGGAAGATCCATTCTGCTATTTATATGGCTAGCAAAAACTTTATAGCATTCCTGACAAGGACAATATAAGAAAGGAAAATTATAATCCAAACTCACAGTTGAATATGGATGTAAAATCCTCTGTACCAAACCAAAGGTAAATGTATATGCGTGTACGTGTGTACACACAAACACTATTAGATGTGTCTCTCAGTTAAATCAAGAAGAAATCTCTATTGCTTATTTAACAACAACAAACCCTGAGCAAACTAGGCATAGGATACTTTATTAATCTCAGAAAGAAAATTGACAAAAATTACTGCAAATATCATTATTCTTGGGAAAATTCTGAAAGTATTTATTTCTATCACACCACTTCTTTTTCAACATTTTTGATGGAAGTCATGGCATAATAAGGATTGAAAAGGAAGAAAGTTTCCCTTATTATATTTAGTTTGGTTATACATTTAAAAATTAGTCAGAGGGGCGCCTGGGTGGCGCAGTCGGTTAAGCGGCCGACTTCAGCCAGGTCACGATCTCGCGGTCCGGGAGTTCGAGCCCCGCGTCAGGCTCTGGGCTGATGGCTCAGAGCCTGGAGCCTGTTTCCGATTCTGTGTCTTCCTCTCTCTCTGCCCCTCCCCCGTTCATGCTCTGTCTCTCTCTGTCCCAAAAATAAATAAAATAAACGTTGAAAAAAAAAGATTAAAAATTAGTCAGAAAGGAAATGAATGAATCTATTAACTTCTGGATTCTGTCTTGAATGCTAATCTTAAAAGTCTTCCCAGACCAAGATTGTATTGATATTTATATTTATTTTTGATACTTATTAAATAATTTCTATCATTTGCTTGTGGCTGATTTATCTGGAATGACTCAAATAGACTTAGAGTTTTGGTGAAAATTCAGTTAAGGTTAAAGAAAGTTTGATATTCCTGATAATTGAATGTTAAGAGGATCATTGGTATGGAGCTGTCCAGGGTGTTGCAAAAACTCAAAATGAAAATTGAATGAAACATTTGTGCGATGTGAAGAGTTTTAAACATGAAAAGTTACAGCTCATTTGGAATACAGGAATGCATACATAATTCTTCATACAGTTGTTTTCCATTTAAGAACTAAAACTCGGGGCGCCTGGGTGGCTCAGTCGGTTGAGTGTCTGACTTCGGCTCAGTCATGATCTCACAGTCTGAGTTCGAGCCCCGCATCGGGCTCTGTGCTGATGGCTCAGAGCCTGGAGCCTCCTTCTGATTCTGTGTCTCCCTCTCTCTCTGTCCCTTTCCTGCTCATGCTCTGTCTCTCTCTGTCTCAAAAATAAATAAAAACATTAAGAAAAAAAAATTAAAAAAAAAGAACGAAAACTCTATGTTATAATGTAGTTACAGGTGTTGATCAATTTCTGTTTAGATTTCTGAGTAAGCGTTATGAGAATATATTATGAAAGTCAGTCTTAAAAAGGTGCTGAAAAGCAAAATATAACATCTGATAAATGAGAGTAAGTTTAAAACTATACATAATTTTGAAAATAAAATTCTAGAATATGAAAAGTTTTGGAACAAGATTAATCAAATTAATCAACTCAAGAGCAAAATAGTATCAGGAAAAAAATTGTTCTTCCTAACCAATTGCAGCACCCATACCATCAGTATTCAAAGTTAATTCACTTTTCTTATCAGTATGAGTACCAATAAAACTGTGTTTTCCAAAATATTGCAAATAGGAAGAAATCAACACATTTATCATCTTTTAAAATTATTTTTCTTAATGTGTATGATGATGAGCAAATAAATTCAATTAAGTGGTCAATGAACAATATCAACTCATTTTTCATTCTATGTTTTTATTATTTTCTTTACTTCAAAATTTGGGTTTATTTGCTATTCTTTTCACTTCTTTAGTTGGAAGTTTAACTCACTAATTCCAAGAATTTTTTTCTTTTCCAATACAAATCTTCAAGGCTATAGATTTCCTTCTAAAAGCTACTTTATCTGAATTTCCCTAGCTTGACACTGTGTTTTTGCTATTTTTCAATTCTCATTTTCTTCTTTGTCTCTTATTATTTCTTCTCAACCAACATATTTTTTGGTAACATACATTTTCTTATTTGTAAACACATGTTGTTTTTCCAATCAACTTTTCTTATTAATTTCCCCTCTAGTCACTTCTGATGAGAGATTATAGTATGTAAGGTGTCAGTCCCTGAAATATTTTGAGGCTGGCAGGATGACCTTGGAAGTGGCCAATATTCATGAAGAATAATTATTTCTTTAAAATGTGTTTTGTGCAGTAATTGGATGCAAAGTTCTCTATATATGCATTAGTGTTTTAATTGTGAAGTGTTATATTCTCTAATGATTATTTTTTTACTTCATCTATCAAATAGAAAGGCATGCTAATATTTGTCAGTATTCAAAGGAGTTACTAATTTCTCTTTACTTTCTAAAATAAATACTATTTAAAATATATTTTGTTTTATATTATTAAATTTTATATACATGTTATGTTTAGAATATAACATCTTTTTGATAATCAAACTGTTATTATATACTGAATTTCTTTATCTCTAGTTATGATTTAGGTCAATACTCTTATTTTTTTCTGATATCAATAAGGATGCACATTCTTTTGATTTATATTCTTGCCTGATGTATGTTCATCTTGCTTTAGACATCAGTCATTCTATGATCTTGTGTCTTACGCGTGTCCCTTTTAGAAAGCAAATAGTTTGGTTTAATTTTTTATTTAATTCATGATGGCTAGTTTTGTCTTTAGCTAGAGTGTTTATTGCAGTTACGTTTATTGTGGTTATTGATGTATTATTATTTCTTTTTTGCATTCTGTATGCTCCACTCTGTTTCTTTTATTTTACTTTTTGCCTTTTTATGTATTGAATTTATGGTTTCATTTATTTTCTCTCTATTGGTTTGAAAGTTTTAAGTGTGTATTTTCATATTTGGTACGCTTTTTCTACCAGTCTTTTTTTTATAAATGTTTTTAATGTTTATTCATTTTTGAGACACAGAGACAGAGCATTAGTGGAGGAGGGTCAGAGAGAGAGGGAGACAGAGAATCCAAAGCAGGCTCTAGGCTCTGAGCTGTAAGCGCTGAGCCCGATACCGGGCTCAAACCCACCGACTGTGAAATCATCACCTGAGCCGAAGTCAGACGCTTAACTGACTGAGCCACCCAGGCACCGCTCTAGCAGTCTTTTTAATGGAGTCATATTTAATTAGTATTTTTATCCTTCTCCCAAACCGTAAAAATATCCTAAAAAAAGATTACAATTCTCATTATCTTCATTTTTAGATGCTGTTATTTTTGTATTTTTCTTCCAGTTTGTTTCATCCTGACATAAATGAGATATTATTGTTTTTTTGCACTTAACATTTGTGAAACTACGCACAGATGTTTACCAAATTTTTTTATTCTGGTAAAAACACGTGGAAAACTTGCTGCCTTAACTATTTTTAAGTGTACAGTTCAGTAGTGTTAAGTACATTCACATTGTGATGACAGTGATTTCCAGAGCATTTCCATTTTGCAAAACTAAAACTCTGTACCTTTTAACCAAGTCCATTTTCCCCACCCCTCAACTCCTGGCAAACACCATTCTGTTTGTTTCTGTGAGGTTGATTACTTTACATACCTCACATAAGTGGAAGCTTACAGTATTTGTCTTCTTGTGACTGGCTTATTTCATCTAGCATAATGGTCTCAGAGTTTAACTATGTTTTAGTTTGTGACAGGATTTTCTTTCTTTTTAAGGCTGAATAATATTCCAGTATATGTATAGACCGCATGTGTTTATCCGTTCATCCATTGATAGACATTTGAGTTGGTTCCATCTTTTGGCTATTGTCAATGGTGCTACCATGAACATGAGTATGTAGATATCTCTTCACGACAGTCCTTTCCATTCTTGTGGATATATTCCCAGAAGTGGAATTGTTGGATAATTTGGTAGTTCTGTTTTTCATTTTTTGAAGAATTTCCATATTGTTTCCCACAGTGGTCAGAT